TGTTAATGACAAAGGCTGAGGAACTATTTTGAAAAAGATAAAGAGACAAGACAACAAAATGCAACACGTGACCATGAACTACTGGTCCTTGTACTGCATTACTGGGATAATTGACAATTTGGGGATATGGACTTTATAGTTTTAATGTTAAATTTTCTGAATTTGATTTAATTGTACCACAATTATTATTATTACTTTTTAAGACAGAGTCTCACTGTGTCATCCTTGACAGAGTGCTGCGGCATCACAGCTCACAGCAACCTTGAACTCTTGGGCTTAAGCAATTCTCTTGCCTCAGCCTCCCAAGTAGCTGGGACTACAGGTGCCTGCCACAATGCCCGGCTATTTTTTGTTATAGTTGTCATTGTTGTTTTAGCTGGCCCAGGCTGGGTTTGAACCCCTCAGCCTCAGTGTATATACCATAACCATTGTACTATGGGTACAGAGCCACTGTACCACGATTATTTAAGAGAATATTCTTTTTTTTTTTTGAGACAGAGTCTCACTCTATCACCCTATGTAGAGTGTGCTGGCATCATAGCTCACAACCTCCAACTCCTGGGCTTAAGCAATTCTCTTGCCTCAGCCTTCCAAGTAGCTGGCCAGAACACCCAGCTATTTTTTTGTTGCAGTTTGGCCAGGGCCGGGTTCCAACCCACCACCCTCAGTATATGGGGCTGGCGCCCTACCCACGGAGCCATAGGCTCCACCCTCATATACTCTTCTAAAAAGCCTTTTACCTTCAACCTCAGAGAGCTGCCACATGTCATAGATGTCCCACTCAGTATCTTAGCTTTCTAGACCTTGGCCTGGAACTTCCCCTTACCAAAAAAAAAAAAAAAGAATAACAAGTTTATAGGGAAATTACTAGTAATTTATGAATAAAAAGGCTTTTTTTCTCCAAAAGGTCAAGATAATTGAGGCTGAGATTTGGACGTTCTTTTGCTCTGGTTTGTACAGTCTGTATTAGCCTCTTCGAGTAACTTTGGATGACTTCTACATGACCACATTACTGTTTTCATAAATGATATTTTAGGAATTGGAAATAACAAAAAGTTCTGCTAGACTTGCCACTTGTTCTTTGTAACTTGTGTAGTCAAATGCTGATTTCCCAAAAAGTGACTGAGAAATACTATCAGCCAAGAGCTTAATGTTAAATGGATGATTTTATGTGAGACAGTAGCAATACCAGGGGACATATCAGTGGTTTGTTGTTGTTGCTATTGTTATTGGTTTTTAATTTTTCTGTTCTTTAAATTACACAAGAAAAGTCTTGTGTCTGTGTATGCTAATATTTTTCAAGAGTGAGAAGTGAATAAGGAGACTTTAATTTCAAGATATAATCAGTGCCCACTTTGTTTCAATGTCACCAAAGTACAATTTATTTTATTTATTTATTCATTTATTTTTTGAGACACAGCCTCAAGCTGTCACCTGGAATAGAGTACTGTGACATCACAGCTCACAGCAACCTCCAACTCTTGGGCTTAAGCAATTCTCTTGCC